CCTGTTTGCCTGGTTTACATCTGTTGTCACAGCATCGTTTCCTATTTAACATTTGTCATGTGGTGAGTCTAGATTTAGGCACACCTGGTTGAACATTAAAACTAAGAAAGGTCATGCAGAAGTTAAGTGCATATGTCAAGTTAGGAGGGGTAAGAAATTTTTTAATTAGATTTCTGCGTCCATTGATGTTTGCCCTAAGCCACTCCCAGCCTACATATTTTGCTTTAATTTAATTTGACCTTGATATGCTTGTTTTTATAAGCTTAGCTGTTCAAACTGCAGGAGATTAGCTAAAGCTGACCTACTGACCTGATGATAAAGATCTAATCACAGGAAAAGTGCCCAAGAGACTCATAAACCTCTGGAAGTGTTTTCACTGAATTCTGATGCTTTTTAGGTCAACGACCAGCTACCTAAAAAGTTATTTGTGGCCACAAGTGTTAAGTAAAAGATTGTGTTACTATATCTTTTAAGGAGAGAAAAGGGGAAAAAAATCAAAGTAATATCCCCTTTTCCTGTTAATTTGACTTGCTTTTCCTCTTTTCTCTCCCCGTCCTGGAAAACTAACATACAATTGAATATTGTTTCTTGAAAATAAAATCAATGTAAAACACTCTATAGGCAGGTAAGGGAGTTTAAACTTCAGCATAGGATTTTCCAGTTTTGGCATTAAACACGCCTAGAAGGCTTGTTAAAACACAGGTTGCTGGGCCCTAACCCAGAGTTTCAGTATGTTTGGCATTGAGAGGGAGACTGGAGCAGAGCTGGGCGATTGTGTTTCTCACATGTCCCCAGGTGATACAAATGCTGCTGGTCCCAAGCCACACCTGAGACGCACTGCCTAACAGTAGGTAGCAGCTCAAAATACCCTCTCCCTTGTGTGGTATGTAAGAAACCTTGAATCATTCTTCCCCCACCATAGTGCTATCCAGATTCAGTGACAGTGCAGGCCTGCACCAAAATCCCAGATCACTCCTGACTATTCAGGTGCCTCAAGAGGCTCTTTCCGACACTCAGGGGCTCATGTGAGAATAAACTGAGAACATATTAAGCTAAGCAGCTACCGAAGTGAAAGGCCTGCCCACAACCCCAAAAGTCCACTGGTTACCAACACAAAGCGTATAGGAGCCAGCGGAGTAGGAGCCAGACCCCCGTTTGTAGAGTGTGCTCAACATGGACTCCTGATCAGGCTGGGATTCACTCATCTGCAGTCACCAATTTCTTTCATATTTTCATACGATTGCAATCTTAAAGACAATGGGCAATTTTGCAAATTACTTAATAAAATTAGGCAAATTTAAACCACTGTAATGCTTCTTAAAGTTTTTTAGGTACTTCGAGAAACTGAGGAAAGCTCTGAATATTTTCCTGGAGGAAATCCATACAATTTGTTGGGGGAACAATTCAATACCTCCTGAGAGACCTATAGTCTCATTCAGAACCTCCTGCTCTAAACCTCCTGGGTTTCAGATTGATCCCCTTCTGGTGAACGAGTTGTCTCAAATTCCTAGGATATGAAAGGCCACTTCTGGGAGGATTTCAGGGCCAGAAGGAGCTAGGCCCCCATTGATGTGACAGAACCTATGTCTTTACCTCAACATTCTTTTGTCCTAGAACTGTACTTATATTAGCCATTGTGAAAAATTATCACAAATGTTGCAGCTTTAAAACAATACAAACTTTTATCTTACAGCTCTAGAGGTTAGAAGTTCTAAAATCAGAGTGTCAGAAACATTGCATTCCTTCTGGAGGCTCTGGGAGAGAATCTGTTTTCTTGCCGTTGTCACTTCAAGAGGCCACTTGCATTCTTTGGCCGGTGACAACCTGCCTCCATCCTCAAAGCCAGAAGCCTAGCTTCCTCAAATCTGTTTTCATCGTCATATCTCCGTCCTTCATTCCAAGGTTCCTGCTTTTCATTTTCCTTTTGTAGGGCCTCTGAGATGACACTGGGCCCACCTGAGTCATCTAAGATGCTCTTCCCATTTCAGTGTCTTTAACTTCATGATTTCTGCAAAGTCCCTTTCGTATTTAAGGAAATACATTCACAGGTTCTGGGAGTTAAAACATGGATCCTAGGGTATGTGTGTGGAAGACACTGTTCTGTCTACCAGAGCATATGTTTTATTACCACCCCTCTAATATACCCTAGCTCTTGGTTGATTATCATTATTTTCAACAGCAGTCGAATGAAGTAACTGTGGATTACAATTAAGCATTTTAAGCTTACTACTAGTAAGGAAGGTAAGACTAGTAGGATGTTGGTAGGACTCCAATAGCCGCTCCATGAATTGTAAAAAAAAAAAAAATTTCTAAACTTAGATATACACACAAATGAATAATATTGCTTCTAATTCTTAAAAACTTGTGCATGATGGGAAACATGGTCAAAAGGATCTGTATTTTGAGACCAACTGAAAAAAAAATAGAAAACGGAACAAATTAATTTATCTTAAAAGGACATGATGTAATCAATCAAAAATTCCTGTGCTCAAGTGTAGATAACCCTGAAATGCAATGAGAGACATTTCACTGAAAAATTTTTCTTTTTTTTTTTTTTACTGAAAAATTTTTCAAAACTAAAGTGTTTTAGTTTACTCCATGTTCAGCATGGATTGTCAAGATAACATGACTTTAAACTGAATTAACAGTAGTGTGATATTTAGAGAAGGAGAGAGTAATCATTCATCCAATAAAGGTGGTTTCTAATGCATCTATGGGCCAGGGACTGTTCTGGATAATGCAGATATTCTCCACTTTGTACTGTTACTATATCCTCATTTTAAAAAAATTTAGGTTCAGGGACACCTAGGTGGCTTAGCAGTTGAGTATCTGCCTTTGGCTCAGGTTGTGATCCTGGGGTTGTGGGATCGAGTCCTCCATTAGGCTCCCTGCAGGGAGCCTGCTTCTCCCTCTGCCTGTGTCTCTGCCTCTCTCTGTGTGTCTCTCATGAATAAATAAATAAAATCTTAAAAAAAAATTTTTTTAAATAAAAATTTTAGGTTCAGAAAACCTGGGGGGAAAAAATCATATTACGTTATAGGAAAAGGCCTAACCTTGAAACTCAATAAAGTCTTAGTACAACAAATGTTTTCTCTCAATTATTGTATCTGTTCATGAAGTTTTGTTAGCAAAAATGTATTTAAAACTGCTTTTTAAAAAATTATCAGTTGTATCATGCATTTTAGTCTTAAACCATCTGCTTTCCAAAATGTTCAGTTCAACATCATCATCTGCTGAAGAGGATCATGAGCACACCTTGATGAGCACTGAGTAATATGTGGAATTGTTGAATCACTGTATTGTACACCTGAAACTATTTTAACACTTTTGGTTAACTCTACTGGAATTAAAATAAAATTTACAAAGCGAAGGGAATTCTGACACATTCTACAGTGTGGATGAACTTTGAGACATCATGCTTAGTGAAACAAACCAGTTACAAAAGGAAAGAATAATAAACATCACCATCTGCAACATTTGAAAGCTGTTTTACTTTTGCTCATATTTCTCATGAAACATCTCTCAGTATCAACGACACTATAATCATTTACAGAATTTACATTCTAGCACTATTTTTAGCTAAACGTTTAATATATTGCAATTTTAAGCTGCAGCAGGAGTAGCAAAGGTGGTATTATAAAAATCTTACAAATGAGTAATTATATACATGATGCCCTAAATTGTCTCAACCTTTTCTGCAAACTCAAATCCCTGTTTCATTGTTCTATTTGGGACAGACACATATTTTTAAAATCCTGAACTGATGCATAAGTGGGCAGATGCTATTTGTGTAAGTTTTATGACAAAGAAGTAATCAATCCCTCTTCTTCAATGAACTAAACTTGGGAAAAAACAGAAAAACATGAGTGGTGACTAGCGAGTGCATTAGGCTACTGATGCAGGAGCACCAGAAGGGAAACCAGGCCTTGGTCCCTTTGTTCTCTTGATGCTGGCATGGGCTGGACCTGTCCTTCCTCCCATTTCTCATCTAGTCTGCAGGTCAGGCCAGTGGCACATCCGTGGCATTTGAACCTCCTCCCCAACTTTGAAGCATTTTGTTTCAACTCTACCATTACTACATTGCCCCTCCAAAAGTCTTGGAAAAATATTTGGCTGGGCTCCCAAAGCATGCAGGCACAAGAATCCTCTCAGGCTATCTCAGACTACATTTGCCTAGACATGCCACAGACAGTTCAACCCACACCACACCACATTGGATAAAGGGGCCCTTGAGGTCGTGCTGACTCCCAGGACTTTACTTGAACTGGGGTTTAGAATATATCCCCCCAACTACTGCTGTACTGCTGTAATTAGGGTTTCCACAGTTCTTCTCTTTCCCAGTATTTGGCCTCAGACATTAGCCAGGGCACAGAGCCCATTTCCTGGGACTCACACCTTAATATGTAAACCTTCTGGATCCCCTGCCAGCAATGCATCCCCAGTTCTAGTCTGGCAACCTTGAACGCTACCTCCAGGTACAGGAAACAGTGGCTCTGACTTTGCAGCTTAGGCTTCTGAAGCTCGGAAGCTGAGTATTGACTTGTTCGCTCTGTGGTCTGCTGTAGTAACAGGCCAATTTTGAGGTAAAGGCTGCCCCATGACCTGGCTGGGTGGGAGGGTGGTGAGGAGGGAAGGGAACTGGGGAAAGACTGGTTCCTTGGACAGCCGGGATATGATTACAAGTGCAGTATTAGCCTCAAACTTTTAAGACAAGAAAAAGATCAAATTCCAGAGTGACTATATGGAGGGGAAATACTTAAATTATTCTTGAAATTACAGGAGTTTTGAAGTGAAAATAGGTATACTTGAGAGGGCGTAGAATCAGAGAGTTAAATCCAGACTAGGATTGGAATTTACCTACTCAGGTGAGAGGGAGAAAAAGGTTAGTTAATTAACCAGCTTTTTAATTCTTGTGTAATTTTTCCTGATATAAGTTAAATTTTAGATTTTTAAAATGCAATGAGGAATGAAATGTGCTAGAAAGAGAAGAATTCACTCACATTTTTACAAGTCCTCTTCAGGTCACATGGTAGTTGCAAATTTTAACCTTTAGGAAAGGCACTTGGCTGGCTCAGTTGGCAGAGTTTGTGATTCTTGATCTCAGGATTGTAGGTTCAAGTCCCATGTTGGGTGTGGAGATAATTTAAAAAAAAAGAAAATCTTATTTTTTTTTTTTAGCTTCAGGAAAAAGTGAAAAAAAAATACAGAGAATTCATCCTCATCATCTTCTCTTCTTCTTATTGAAGACTTTCAATCCTAAACATCAGATATTGCCAAATATTATGAAAGGGAGTTGAGTTTCTGTTTTTCTTAAAGTTATATTTTTGTATTGCTACTAAAGTAATGCTTGTGCTTTGATAGACAATTGCATTTTCAAAATACAATGCAAATTTTATTCTACACAGTAACAAGGAAAGAATCCAGGCACTAGCCCATAAGTGCATTATAATTTCCTGGCATAAGAAAATAATCCACTTAGTTCTATGGAGAATGAAATGCTATGATTCCATAAGAGGAGCGATATGAAACTAGCAGCCTGAGCATGTGTCACCTGGGCCACGGGTTGACCCCACATGATCCTAGTACTCAGGAAATAGGCTGCCAGCCACTGATACCCAGAGAGCAGCAAACCAATGTAGAGATATCCTTACTCATGCAATCTATTTTGGCATATGAGAGTTATTTATCCATCTTTTTTTTTTAATTTATCCATCTTTTAAAGTATCTTTGACAGGGGTGTCTGGGTGGCTCATTCAGTTAAGCATCCCAGCCTTGATTTCAGCTCAGGTCATGATCTTAGGGTTGTGAGATCGAGCCCTGAGATGGGCTCTACTGAGCATGGAGGCTTCTTAAGATTCTCTCTCTCACACTCCCCCCCCCCAACTTGTGCTCCCTCTCTTTCAACAAGAAAATAATTTTTTTTTACATAAGGTAAGTAGTATAACATTTGTGCTTATAAATTATTTCTTCATAATAATAGTCATTTCTAATTTTATTATCCTTTTCCCCTCTGGTTTTGGCTTACGATTACTACTGCTAATGTCAGACTTTGTACCTGACTTACCTTTGAACTTGATTTAGCAGCTTTCCTGAAAGTCCCTGATGTGTTTCCTACTAGGTAGCACATCAGAATAGTTTCAATGAGAGGTAACCAGGGACCCCACTCAAACTAAAGGCATTTTATTGCCTCCCATAACTAAAAGTCCAGATGAAGAACAAATTGCTTGAGTGGTCTGATTTGGGATTTTGCTCCATTTCTCTGCAATGCCCAACTCCACGTTTCTGTATGTGTTTTTTTTTTTCCTCTTACTTCAATCTCCATGTAATTGTAATATAGCTGCTATCAACAATTAAGGCAACCTGTTTCCTCATTCACATCTGGCTGCAGAGTCTGGGTTTCCATTGTTCTCCATTAAAAGTAAGGAAGGACTTTCCCAGGAAACCCCAGAAAACTTGCCCTGGTGCCTCATTAATGAGAATATGAGGCTGATCACCATTCTTAACAAGCCACTGTTAAAAGGAATACCAAGATCAACCAATTCTACCTCAATAAGCTGAAGTCAACTACACAAACCTTACAAATGACAGAAGGAAATTATTCTGCTCCTCCTCTCCATCATCATCATCCCCCTCACTATCATCACCATTTCCGATAGGTTAAGGAAGTTAAATATTGGCCTTCATTTACAGACTTTTTTTTTCTATTAGAGACCTCTACTACTGCATCTTGCCAGTCACCTATCCCACAGTATGGAGTTTCAAGTAGGCTTTTTCAGAATTTCTAAGTCCAACTCTTTCCTTCCCATGTTGCTCCTGCAAGCTCCCCACTCAAGCACACTTCCTCTCCCTGGGTTCTGCCAAATAAAGGTAAAGGAATATACTGTATGCTATTCATTCCTGTATTAATTTGTTTATTAACACCTAGATAGCTTTTTGATGAATAATATGAATAATATGAAGGAATATTACTGCTTAATTATGGTAATTATTGTCACGTTTGGATTAGTGAGGCTTGGGTAGCCAGCCACCTTTTCTGGAATGTAACCCTCTACTAAGTCCTGTCTCCATGGGAGGATGAATTATCTTTTATCTTTTCCATTGCCACAAATTCATTTATCTTTTGAATTAGCATACAGCTCTAAATTTAAATACTAGTATTTCTTTTTTTTAATATTTCTGAGTAAATGTGTCTGTTCATTTATTCAATAGAGATAGTATTGCACAATCTAATCCTGTAGATAGCAAATGGCCATCTCTCTTTTTGCAAAACAAAGGCTAACCATATTATGCATATTTAGTAGATAGATACAACAAGCTTTTTTTTTTTTTTAATTGAATGTATCCAGGGCCTTCACGTTTGTTGTTCATTTGATCCTCACAACATTTGTGGAAAGTAGACTTATAAGTTCGATTTTACAGGTGAGCAAAATAAGGCTTGGCGAGCTGATTTGCCAAAGGTGACATAGCTAATTAAATGTTGAAGCTGTGAGAGAACAGAACACAGTAAGTCCTGACTTCAGTTTTACTTTATTCATGAGTTTGAATAAGAAGTTGTAACAGCTGGACACTGGACAGGGCAATGTCAAGGTGACAGTGAATTTAATTTCTAGGAATCGCATATTAAAAGAATATTTTGTTATGTGTTAAACTTAGATCTACAGTGTGGGCCAGTAGAGAGAAGCCACTGTTTGACCAGAAAAATTTTTAGGAAATTAAAGACACTACCGATCAATTAAGAGAGATGATTATCACTGTTCTACAGAGTTCATAGAATATGTTAGTCTGACGTCTCTCCTACACAAAAACAGTAATTTTCTTAAAATTGCTCAATCTTTTAGATTCCAAACATAGATCCAAGCATAGACACCTGCAGGTTTTTACTGACCTTGATCATTTTGTGGAGTTCTAATCACTTGTTTTGTAGAGTGTTCTCAATTGACATTTCATGTTTTTTCCTCTGATAAGACTGGGGTTATCTGTGGGTTATAGCCCACAGTCTTTTTTTTTAGTCTAGGGTGAATGACTAAAGCCTAAGAGAAACATATGAGAAATCTGTATTAATGCTTTGTTCTTCTCATATGTGGAAATTTCCCCCATTTACTATAAAACCTTGTCTGATCCAAATGTCTTTTCATGTTTTCATAGCACACAGATCATAGGAGCTTCAAATTATGTTCTCTTTTTGGTCTAAATAGTGTATGAAGGTAATTAAAGAGCAAAGTCAGGTATTTTGAGGCAGATCGAAAAAAATCAACCATTCATAGACTTCTTTTTTAAACAATCACCAAACTATTTGACTAGTACAGGATTTACAGTAGTAGATTTGACCACTATCCTTGATATAAACCAAATGGTTCATATTTTTCCCTTACTGGTTTTCTTGGCAACATCAAGAAAGAACTGCCTTTTTGTCTGTTAAACATTACTCTGACAGAGATTTGTTCATTATGTTATTGCCTTTTTGGCATAAGCTTTCACATATTATCTTTAATATTTGTAGCTCATTTGCATGAGGATATAATATCTAGTCTCAATACTGTAGCTCTTAGTATATGGAAAATTTGCTTTAATTTTCCATTATGTCATTGACAATTTATAAAACTTATGTCTGCAGAAAATAGCATTTTTTTGGCTCAGATGTTCACTCATAGATAATAATACATTCAAGAAATAGCACAAAGAAAAGCCATAGTAAAAAAGATAGCAAATGACTTACATAATTCCACTCCCAAATCCGGCAGCTCGATGTCAGCATAAGTCTGTCTTTGACCTACCCATTACTGGTTTGGGTCTCTTGTTCCTGTCCATCATGAACATGGAAGCCTTGGCTGTTCTATCTATTCCAGCCCTAATACATAAATCGGTAGAAAGAGCTAAAAATCTCTGCCAATTCTAAGAGAATTGCCTCATGAATCATACTAGAAGACCCTAACAAGCACAATCAATGGACAATTCTCTGAGTATCTGTCGAGATCCTTTACCGCAATTTTTCTTCCATATTAAGAATTAAAAGCTATGGAATTGAATTTCAGTTTGAATCAGAATTAATCTAATTACCATTTCGAAGGGCAAGATGGCAGCACTTAATTTCAGGCAATTTTGGCTTCTCTTCTATCATTTCCCTCAAATTCGGGTCCACCTCCTTGAGAGTGTGCTGTGGACACTGGAGAGGCGGGGGAGCATTGGGGTACCCACCATGTAGCTGTCTCCGGAAATGTCAGTTTTATCTGGCTCCCAGTCAAAGATCCATAGTTAGCCACTGAGATGCCCCTTATTTCTAGCCCCAGCCCTCTAGAAGCCCAATGTCCTTCTCACTAATTTCCTGCTAGAGTTGGAGTCACTGGAATCATTCTGTTTCTGAAATAGCCTCATTGCTTCTCTGTGACTCTAAGACCAGAGACTTTCTATTCAAGGCATAAACCCATTCTTCTAGATCCTTCCTCTCTTTTCTATATTCTCTTAAGGACTTCATTTTTTAGAAATTAAAATCAAAAAGTCTCCTCACCCTCTGCTTTTGTCCTAGTGGATTTAGATCTTGATAGGAATTCAATTTTTCATACTCTCCTCCCCTTTGTCGTCGTCTTCTTCTTCCTCCTTCTTCTTCTTCTTCTTCTTCTTCTTCTTCTTCTTCTTCTTCTTCTTCTTCTTCTTCTTCTTTTTTGGCAAATGTTCTTAATATATAATACATGTGGGCGACTTCCTTCCCCAAGTTTCGAGACATTTTGTTGTAGTTTCAAGCTCCTTAAAAACTTTAATCCTCAGAATCTTTTGTCTTCAAGGAGTTTTAAATGTCATAGGGTTTTATTTTCTATTTCTTTCTTTTATGTCATGAGTTATTTTGTGTGCTGATGGAAATTTCCTATAATCAAGGGAAAGGCGGAGAAACTCGTTATCTCAATTTTCTGCAATTAATTACCCCAGTTACACAGAGGGCCCATCTTAGTCTTTAGATATGTTTTCACTGTGGTTGGAGTTTCTTTTGCCTTTGAAGTAGTTTTCAGTGGCTTAAGTGTGAGGCTTTGTTTCCCTCATCCATTGTTTCTTTAATAATGTGGTCCCATGTGTTTTCTATTTTCCAGTAACTTCTGATAATGTTTAATCTACTGAAGACAGCCTTTCTTGTCACCCCCCCATCTTTTAGTGGATTATTGTCTTCATAATATTTTGTCTTTTACTGTAATGGATTTGGCAGGAAAGGTATGGGTACGGGAGTGAGTTATGTATGCTACATTCACTATTATAAGCTCATCTCTAAAGATTTTAAATAATTACGAGTCAGCAGAAAACATGTTCATTCAGATTTATTGCAGTAAAGAACACCCATAAGTTAAAAATATGTACATAAAGGCAAAACAGATTTTTAATGGGAAAGGTGAAGAACACCAAATCACCAATTTAAAATTAAGTGCCAATTTACTCATTCTTAATTTAAAAACTTAATAGTTTTTAAATAGTTTTTAAATTAAGATCATTCATCCATCCTCTTACATAGAGTGGGAGAATGGATATGCTTAGACTTACATAATTCATTCTTATTTAAAAACTTTCTCTTAAAATTTTTGATTTTTGCAAAATTAATTACTTTTTGTCAGAGTTTTTTTAATCCTAACGTTTGACGTTTTGTTTTTGTTTTTTAAAGATTTTATTTATTCATGAGAGAGAGAGAGAGAGAGAGAGAGAGAGAGAGAGAGGGAGAAGCCGGCTCCATGCAGGGATCCTGATGTGGGACTTGATCCTAGGTCTCCAGGATCACACACCTTGGGCTGAAGGCGGCGCTAAACCACCGGGCCACTTGGGGCTGCCCAAGTTTGATGTTTTATTTCTATGCTACCTATGCTTACACTTCACATTTAACAAATATTTTAACGTTATAACATTTGTTTTCCTAGCAATGACGAAAAGGAACTACAGTATCTGCAACTCCTCTTCCAACCAAAATAAGCTTTTTGACATGAGGTAAAGCCAACTTTCCTTCTCCTCCTACAGGGAGCTAGGTATATGGGCAAAAGGAGCTTCCTGCTGGGCTCTGCTCCACTTCTTAGCCTAGCTCCACAACCCCCTCCTGTGGAAGCAAGCTCGCTTTGCTAAGAGTCATTCATGTGGCTCTAGCTTGAAGCAAACCTGGAGCCTGGTGCTTCCAGACTGAAAGATGTACAATTCTATGTGTTACAATATCCCCACATTTCTCAGTTAATAACTCACAAACCTGCTCACACCCAAAGCCTTTTCTGACTCTGATCTTGGTGTTAATACCTGTGTTCTATTCTAATCCATTCTTTCTCTGTATCATTAGTGGTTTCTACAGCTCTGTTGGATTTTATCACTAATTTGATTCCTTGTTCGTATCTTCCAAAAATTCCTAAATGTTTTGGGCTTCCCGTTTTTTTTTTTTTTTTTTTTGCTTTGCTGTATAACATTCCTATATTTCTTCTATCATTGGAATAGGAATTCAGTAAGGGATATAGGATGCATGCATCAGATCAGTCAGCTTCCTCTGACTGGAGGTTTACAGTTACAAACATCAGAACACAACCTCAAAACACATATTAATGAAGATGATTTTATTGAGTCATAGAATGGGGCACATAAAAATAAAACATTTGAACAAAATTTAGCCATTTATTCAAAACTAGAAACTTTAAATAGCAAAAAGTACATTTTTAGTGAGTTTCTAAATTGTCAACCACTTATGGATTATTTGGAATCCTTACGATTAAAGCAAATATTTAGTTATGCACTGAACTCCTAAATAGGTAAAACAAAAAATCAACTAAAGTTTGTTATGAACTGAAACAAATGAATGTTCCTACTTAAAAGTTGTTGTATACCAAGAAAACACAGCATATGTTAATGTCTATTCCTTCCCCCAAAATCAAGTTAAAGAATCATACACTTTCCTCACTTCTCATAAGAAAACATATGAAAATCCCATGTGTAAAAAAAAAAATCTTAAAGTTTGATCTCCCCTAACATTATTTGATTATAAAGTTCTTTGGTCAATGGAACATAAGATTTTTTCAAGTTATCCATGAAATAAAGTGGGTCAGAAATTTTCAGTGGACTAAATCCTTCTTCCACCAATTGAAACTTCTGTAGTTTGAATGTCCCTGTTGTTTCCATCTTCTCCTACAAAGTAATTACCAGGATTAGTGGAATCATTTACTATTATCTAAAACATATAAATAGAATATTCAAGAAGAGAGACTGTAATATTTAATTATAACACTTTTGTATCCAGTGACCATCTCACTATTTCCTATTAATAATTTAACTTTAGAAACTTTAAAAATACCCTCTAGAGCACTGGAATCTTTAGCTTGCTATACTTCTGAACTTCAGGTAATGTATAAGAATTATAATTGTTGAAAATGAATTACAACTGACTACAGACATGCCTAAAACACAGCAGGCTTATTCTTTAATCCACTGTCAACACAATATCATATACAGAGAATGCTATTGACAACAAGAAGACAAAACCTATGAAAGAGAGTATTCCATTCCATTAGATAGATCACTATAATATAAAGACCAGAAGAAGTAAAGGATGATCTGAAACAAGGATTCCCAAACTGTGCACTGAGGTGCTCTGTGGTACCTCAGTGAATTTCCAGTGTCTCTAAGGTATATTTTAAAATTTCCAGGTAAACCCAGTACAATCCATTGGTCACCACTTGCAAACTACTAGCTCAAGTAGTTCCAATATTCACAGTTCCAATATTAGTTTGTGACACATTCTTTTCAATGATGCCATATCTTTGTGAAACAGAGTTTTAAGTGGTTGTTGTGATAAAAGGCAAAGACAGCCCCAAATCAATGTGGGACAAGGAATTCAGCTGGCCCTGTGAAGTCCAACGTAATGCCAGTGTTTGAGGAGCTGTCGAATGCTCCTCTTACATCTCTTTGATACTTGTGATTGTCTAAAAATAAAAGTATTTTTTCTTTCCATTTATATGCATTTTTTTAAAGCAGCAACTCATTTATTAGACCTAAATACTTAATGAGTTTGTTTTGACGTAATTACTCAATAAATCAAAGGTTAGGTATTTGGTTGGCCCACGAATGCCAGGAAATACTTATTGAGACTCTATAGATGCCATAAATCTAGAAAGTTTAAGAAGCCCTGCTTTAAGGGATTGAAGAGATAAAGTGGATATCTCTGTGACAGTTTCAGGCATGAAGAAGCAACCTGTTTTAAACTAGATGACTTGTAGAGATCCTTATAAGGTTTTATGAATAACTTGGCCATTTTTATTCATCCTTTTGGACTAATTCAATACTCAAATTGTCTTTGAACCTCCTTCCCTGATCTCATCCTTTCTACTTTCTCCCTTCTCCACAGTCATCACAGAATTAGATCTGACTGTGTAGAAACACATACTCATTTTCTCATTTTTAGAAAATTAGAAGCTCATTGCATTTATATAATTGATGTTCTAGCTTAAAAAAATAAAACAGTTCTAGTAGTGCCTATGTGGCTCAGTTGATTGAGCTTCAAACTTCATTTCAGGTCAAGGTCATGGGATCCGGCCCCTGTGGGGCTAGGTGATCAGCACAAAGTCAGCTTGGGATTCTCTCTCTCCCTCTCCCTCTACGCCTCCCTCTGCTCACGTGCTCTCTCTCTAATATATAGATAAATAAAATCTAAAAAACATACAGAAGAGCTTCATAATACATCAGGTATATTTCTCCAGGTTGGGTAGTTTTTCATTAGCTAATAAAAACCATTAGGTAATGGTTTAATAAGATCTCATCTAATTATAATATTTTGATTAACAATATTCTTATTCTAACTAATAAAGAATATCAAAAATTTTTACTGCTATACACAATGCTCTGTAGAACATCTTTATATATAGCATTTGTTCAGCTTTGATTACTTTCTAAGGATACATTTCTGAAATGGAATTACTAAGTCAAAATATATGTAAATTCTAAGAGCCTAATTATTTACTTACCAAACTGTTTTCTAGAGAGGTTATAACAGTTTGTTTCCACTAGCAGAATGAAAGGATCAAGTTACCTCATCCTACTCATACTGAGTAATGCCACATTAAATTTTTTTTTAGTAAATTTAAGGCACCTGAGTGGCTCTGTCAGTTAAGCATGTGACTCTTGATTTTGGCTCAGGTCACAATCCCAGGGTGCTGGGATGGAACCCTGTGTTGGACTCTGAGCCCAGTGGGGAGTCTGCTTGAGGATTCTCTCTCGTCCTCTCCCTTTGCTGCTCTCCTCCACTGGAATAAATAAATACATCTTAAAAAACATTTTTTTGAAAAAAAAAACAAAAAAAAACCAAAAAAACAAAAAAAACCATTTTTGTAAATTCATTGGCAAAAAAATCTTTTTTTAAAATTTGTGCTAAATGGATTTTGATAAGATAGTTGCTTAATTCATTTTGTCAGAAGTGACTTAAACTTTTGGACTGCTTATTATATCATTTATTAAACATTGTGACTGCCAAGTATCATGCATTGTGCTAATTATAGCAAATAGTATAATAAATATAACAGCCACAGCTCTAGTTCTTTAGTTGTTTAATGATGCTAAAGTATTTTCTGAGTTTGTATAAGATTGATTTAGGTTTTTAGAGTAGTTCTATGCCAAAGTATTTCTTCTGCTTAATTAAAGTGAATTTTAAGTTGCCCTAGGGGAAAATCATTGAAGATATTATTTAAACTATCAACTGTCTACTTCATTAAACTATATTATTTCTAGGGTAGGAAGAGGTAACTGGGTGTGGTTATTAAAAGGAAACATCCTGTGCTGGGCAGCCCGGGTGGCTCAGCGGTTTAGCGCCGCCTTCAGCCCAGGGCGTGATCCTGGAGACCTGGGATCGAGTCCCATGTCAGACTCCCTGCATGGAGCCTGCTTCTCCCTCTGCCTGTGTCTCTGCCTCTCTCTCTCTCTCTCTCTCATGAATAAATAAATAAAATCTTTTAAAAATATATGGCAATATTGTGGGCAAGGTAATATACTCTAAAGCCATAGTAAAAAAAAAAAAAAAAAAAAGAAATCCTTGAGCTGCCAGAATTGTTCATATCTTGACTGCAGGCATTGATGAATGAAGCAACAACACAGGTGATAAAAGTGTATAGACCTTAATACACACACACACACACACACACACACACACACACACACACAGAAGTAAAGCAGGAAATTTAATAAGATGGATAGATTATATCAACATCGGGATCCCTGGGTGGCGCAGCGGTTTGGCGCCTGCCTTTGGCCCAGGGCGCGATCTGGAGACTCCAGATCGAATCCCACGTCGGGCTCCTGGTGCATGGAGCCTGCTTCTCCCTCTGCCTGTGTCTCTGCCTCTCTCTCTCTCTCTCTCTCTGTGTGACTATCATAAAATAAATAAAAATTAAAAAAAAAAGATTATATCAACATCAATGTCCTGGTTATAATAGTCTTGGAAAATGTCACCACTGGAGGAAATCAAGTAATGGCTACACAGAGGATCTCTCTGTATTATTTCTTACAATAGCATGATTACCATGATCTCAATAAAAATTTCAATGGGAAAATGGATTAATTCTGCTTCATACTTCTGCTTACCTTTCATATTTCAGAGGATTGTTATGAAAACAATCTGATTCAATGTATACAAAAGCTCTTAAAAATAAAAAATTATGTAAATGAAATCTGTGTTTATGACAGTTCAGATGATGTGTCCCATTGGCCAAGCGGTGACATGGCCATGAAGATTGCTCGGCAAATGCTTTAAGGATGAATATGATGCCATCGATTGATCCACTAGGCATCTAACAGTGATGTGATGAATGTATCCAGAAAAGTCCTATGTAATCAGATGTTAAGAGATAAGTACTAGCTTTGTGTACACAATATTAAATACATAGATGGGTGAATAAATGAGCAAGCAAATTTTTTTTGACGATTTTATTTATTTATTCATGAGAGACAGAGAGAGAGAGAGGCAGAGACACAGGCAGAGACACAGGCAGAGGGAGAAGCAGGCTCCATGCAGGGAGCCCAAAGTGGGACTCGATCCTGGGACTTCAGGATCACGCCCTGAGCCGAAGGCAGGTGCTTAACTGCTGAGCCATCCAGGCAAATTTATCCAGTAGCTGAGTAAACTTTTCTTTTTACTGTACTTTATTCTAGTAACCTAACAAGAGAGTACCTACCTCTCAAAATAAATAAATCAGAATTCCCTAAAAGTATAAAGATGCAGAGGGAGATTGGACAGAATGAAGATAAAAATTAAAAGCAGAATTGCTTAAAGCCATTTGCTTTGGGTTACCTAGGTGGTTCAGTGATGGAGTGTCTGCCTTTGGCTCAGGGCATGATCCTGGGGTCCTGGGATTGAGTCCCACATCAGGCTCCCTACAGGGAGCCTGCTTTTTCCCTCTGCCTATGTCTCCGTCTCTCTGTCTGTGTCTTTCATGAGTAAATAAATAAAATCTTAAAAAAAATGCCATTTGCCTTTAGTTTTTGCACACACCCCGCGGACACCTTCATGTCAGCTTGGTGGAATGTAATTTTAGGCACAGAGCATCAAGTGTCATCACAAGGCTTGTGTAAAATGTAGTTTCAGCTTGCCAGCATCTCTGAGGTCTTGAGTGACGAGGAAGAAAGCAATTCTATAATTAGGATAAAGACAAAGACTCCCTAGCATTTCATCAAGTTCCCTTCTATAATTAGGCTTCAAATATGGCATAAATTAGCATCCCAATGCTTTTCATTGTTGTTGAGATTTTCTAATACAAATAAAACACACATATTATCTAAAAGATAAAATATTATTTTGTGATTAAACCTGGATTCCTGGGCTTGTAGTTAAGTTGAATCTTTAGTTAAGTAAAATTACCTGAATTTTAGAAATTCAAACACTAAACTTACCTGAATTCTTAAAAATCGTGGGCAGGCATAAGCTGGTAGAAATGTTACAACTTGTTCGTAAACCTTCTCCAAGTCTAAAGACTTATTTTGTTTTAAAATAATAGAAGCCATTCCTGCTTTTCCTTCATAATCTGAAAAAAAGTTTGAAAGAGCATTAATTTTACAAGTACTAGGTGATTTTTAAAATGATCCTGTTAATTACATACTAATTGTTGCAAACGGAGACATTAATTCTATCACAGCAATAACAATGCAACAGTAGCAGACACAAGTGGGTCCTTCTCTGAGCACTTGACTGACTCCCCAGAAACAAGTTAGGAACAGGGGAGGGTAGAGTCTATTCTTAATTGTTGACACTACACAAATGGAATAGATGGACTAGAAAACACCATAAATAACCCTTAGTTTTCATTCTACCACCATTAATGTAAAATATTAAAAGGAAACATTTATTTAAAGGTGACTACATTTCAGACAAATATTCATGTCAAGGGTCAATGTAAAAAATAAAAGGCAATATTGTTTTTAAATTTTAAAACCAGACTGGTATTTCCATATCAAATTCCACCATGGTGCTCATCATGCCACCTATGGATTTTTCCAGGGATCAGAAATGAAAGCACCCAAGGTCTATTAGAGGAAACATCCCCTTCCTCTCCTCCCCCATTTAAACACTCTCACCCCATGTGTCCCCTGCATCCACAAACATTAATTGGAAAATATTGTCATTTATCAAAACAAAACAAAACAGCAAAGGAAAACAGCTATCTTATAGTTTCAATTTGGTTACTATTCTTTACCATTCTCACCATCGTGAGACAATCCTCAAATGCATATTTACAAAGGTAAATGAAGTCAAAAAGGTTTTAAAATTATTTTTGGAAAAGATTCAACTTAACTACAAGTCAGTGTTATTAAACATTTAAACTAGAACATGTTCTCATTTAATGGCATGCATAAACTCTAGTCATAAAGAGAACAAGAGCAGACTATTGAAAAGCTAGAACTATTTTCAATCAGTGAGTCAAGTTACCAAAATGTTCAAGCTTTACTTAAAAATACTCACATCCATTAAAATTAAGTTGATACCTAATGTGAACATGGCATTTGTTAGCCTGGTCTAGGGCATTACTTGCTAAAAAAAAAAAAAAAAAAAAACTAAGATATTTATTTTATTTTATTTTTTTAAAGATTTTATTTATATATTTGAGAGACAGAGACAGTGTGTGTGTGTGTGTGTGTGTGTGTGTGTGTGTGTGAGAGAGAGAGAGAGAGAGAGAGAGAGAGAGAAAGACAGAGAACAGGACAGTGTGCAAGCCCATTGTGGGCTCCATCCCAGAACCTTGAGATCATGAACTGAGCAGAAGGCAGATGCTTAATCAACTAAGCCATCCAGGCACCCTAAGATATTCATTTTAGTATATAAAAAAAGAAATGTTGAATTAGTAAGATCATTGCAGAAGTAAAGAAAAGTGGCACATTCTACTCTGATAATTCTTCCCAAACATGAAATATATTCATACCTGACACTGCCACCCCGTAGACGTTTGTTTCTTGTATGAAATCCAACATCCCAATAACATCAGCAACCTCTGTGGTGGCAACATTTTCTCCTTTCCACCTAAATGAAAAACAAGTTCTAGATCACTGCACCTATATTTGAAGAAGCAGTACCCAGTTTCCATTTTAGCGCCCTGCATTTGGTTCTGTGCAAGCACCTAGTAACCAAAAATAATGGCAGTTTTGAAATGAAAGGCCTTTCTAAGGTAAGGAAGCACTTGTTGATGAGTCAACAGAATCAGAATTGCTGTTTTAGTTAAAATTACTTTATCTGTGATTCATTGGTATAAACTGGTTACTATGTTTTCCTATAATATGTCATAAAAAGAAAGTAATGATAGCTCCCTCTTTATTTTTAATTTTGTTTAATATATTTTTTTATTGAAGTTCAATTTGCCAACATATAGTATGACACCCAGTGCTCCTCCCACCACTTTGAATTCTAGTAACAGTTAGTTACAAAACATTGCCTACCTCTAATGATAGAGAAAAAAATGAAAGGAAATCTATAGTTGTCTCTCAATGTACTGACCCTTTTTAATTTCTAGGGATTAACCCCTTTGGCTCATTTAATGTATTTGAATTATGTATTGAATATGTTACTTCGATCAAAATAATTTTATATAAAGTGAGCACAGAAGTTGGTACAAGAAAGTGAGGAAGTAGGAAATATGATTCACTTATTCATTCAAACATTTTTGAATGTCTCCTGTATGTCCTCCACTATTCAATAGTCATTGAGTAGTAAAACAAAATAATTTCATAAGCCTAAAATAATCTTAAGGAATTAAGAAGGAAAATGTAAAAAAAGGAAACTTTTGCTCTTTCATTGTTTTTATCATTTGGTCAAAAATTAGACCATACTTGACCACACTGGCTTCTGTTTCAACTCTGCCATTTAGACATCACATCTGTCTACTTATTTTATATTCTACAGTGATTTATTTAAATAATGATAAAAATCGACATCAAAATGTAACTTAGATTTCAATCTAGAAACAGCCAATGAATTTTTAAATGGGGAGACATTACTGAGATGAAAGCACTCTGTCTGCCCTGAAGGTAAAGACCAAGTGGTCTATACTGTTTCCACCAAGCCTTGCTTGGAGCATGGTTCAAAATCACAGAAGAAGGTCAAAACAGACACAGGGAGAGAATATAGTAATCGCCTTTCACTTGGCCAGTGCAAAGAAAGATGCTCTGTTGGGCAGCCGCGGTGGCGCAGCGGTTCAGCGCCGCCTGCAGCCCACGGTGTGATCCTGGAGACCCGGGATCGAGTCCCATGTCAGGCTCCCTGCTTCTCCCTCTGCCTGTGTCTCTGTCTCTCTCTCTCTGTGTGTCTCTCATGAATAAATAAATACAATCTTAAAAAAAAAATCACAGAAGCAGTACACTCGATGCAATTTCATACCTGAAAGTGTCTCCAATACGGTCCCAAAAATAAAGGAAATTCTCCTCATCTTGTACCATTAAGTCTCCTGTGTTAAAGTAAACATCTCCCTTCTTAAAAACATCACAAAGTAGTTTCTTTTCTGTGTGCTTCTTACTCCCGGCGTAACCAAAGAAGGGATTTTTCTCATTCACTCGAGAAATGAGAAGCCCAGGTTCTCCTGGGAGAGAAAGGTATTTTTCAGTGATTTGATTAAAACTATTAGTACACATAGCATGCATGTATTCAGATTATATCTGACCAACACAACCAGTGTTGCTTACCTTCCCCTTAACTTGTTTTTATTATATTTGATATTCACTCTGGGTGCCTGCATCCAGCACACCATTTCATAGACTGCCACAAACACAAAATACTTTGGAAAAACTAACAAAAAGAAAGCAAGGGTAAACAAGGTATATTACATTTATTTTACATCCTGGGTGGATAGATCAAAGGCTACTTTTCTTTTAAGTTACATAGATTTCAACACTGAATAATGACAACTAAATAAATAACCATAATAAAAATCTTAATAAAATTATGATAGTAGCAGTATTTATTGGGCCTTTACTATGTAGCAAGCCCCATGAGCCCCTTACAACTGTCATCCTATTGATTCTTCACAGAAATCCTTTGAAATTGATAATGAAAATCCCTATTTCACAGAGAAGGATCCAGGACTCAGAAGGGTGAAATAAGTTACCGGAGACCAACAGATGGAAAGGAATGGACCTAGAACTCAAATTCAAGTCTATGATTTTGCAGCAAGGTTTCTATGCAATATTATCTCTGATCTAGAAGTTATTAGAAGCTTAAGAAAATGTTTTATTCCTATGGAGTACTGTGGAAATCCACAACCAGCGAGAGATGAGGCATGAGAGTTACTCATATTACTTATTTGTAGACACATTATCTGGAGAAAAACTTTATTTTATTTATTTATTTTTTTAATTTTTTAATTTATTTATGATAGAGAGAGAGAGAGAGAGAGAGAGGCAGAGACACAGGCAGAGGGAGAAGCAGGCTCCATGCACCGGGAGCCCGACGTGGGACTCGATCCTGGGTCTCCAGGATCGCACCCTGGGCCAAAGGCAGGCGCCAAACCGCTGCGCCACCCAGGGATCCCTGGAGAAAAATTTTAGATCAGGGGATGCTTGTGTGGCTCAGTGGTTGGGCATCTGCCTTTGACTCTGGTTGTGATCCCGGGGTCCTAGGATCAAGTCCCGCATCTGGCTCCCTGCATGGAGCCTGCTTCTCCCTCTGCCTATGTCTCTGCCTTTCTCTCTGTGTGTCTCTCATGAATAGATGGATAAGGTCTTTAAAAAAATTTTTTTAGATCAGATTTACTCTAATTATTCAGAATTTGGCCAGCAAGTTGCAAGGTAAAAATCTACTTCCAAGAGAAGGGTGGAAGACACAGAGAAGCAGCAATCACTGCCTTAGAACATTCCAAGGTAATTGCTGACTTGCTTCCCCCCCTGTGAAGAGAGGCAATAGCCAAGTGATTAATGAGATGGGGTTAATTCCAGCATGCTATAAAGCTATTTATGTTATTTTAACAATATTCAAAGCTCACTGTTCCCGCTCCTTCTGAACATCCTGGCTTCCAAAGATACAGTTGCCTCTGGTGAAGCCAAGTCTGCTCTGCTACTGCAGAAGCTCATCGTTGTCACTGTCATTACTGACACCTTCATCGTTATCATCATCCTCGCCATTGTTACACTTCCTGAACACTTTCTGGGTAGCAGTCACTATTTTGAGCACTTAATATTTATGTATCCCTTCTGATCCTTATCCCAAATCTATAACACATGCCCTCATACTATCTTCATTTTACAGGTAAAGAAACCAAGAAAGAGATAGTAATTTGCTCAATGTTATACAGTTGCCAAATGTTGGAGAAGGGTTTTGTTGTTGTTGTTTTATAGGCTCAGGCTTGGGGCACCTGGATGGCTCAGTTGTTGAGTGTCTGCTTTCAGCCCAGGTCATGATCCCAGGGTCCCGGGATCGAGTCCTGCATTGGGCTTCCTGCATGGAGCCTGCTTCTCCCTCTGCCTATGTCTCTGCCTCTCTCTCTGTGTCTCTCATAAATAAATAAATGAATAAATAAATAAAATCTTTTAAAAAATAAAAATAAAAAATAAAGGCTCAGACTCCATGCTGAGATCAAGACTCAGAGGTGTAACTGATTGAGCCCCCCAGGTATTCCTGAGATAGGTGTTTTTAAACCAGGTTCATCTGACTCCAACACATATGCCCTTCAGGCTACATTCCCTCTATTTCAGAAATTTCCAAGTCTCTCATGTTTCCCTTAAAATTTATGTTCTTTGTTTTTCTTCTTCAAGACACAAGTTGACAATTTCTTCCCTAATTATTGCAAATGCTTAAAAAGATCACAGTGTTTCTTATCTATTTGTTCTAGGCAAATGTATGCAAGACACAATATCATTAGTGGAAAAAATATTGAGTAATTCATAATGAGAATTGCAAAACATTAAAGCAAATGTTTGGGGACAATCTGCCTTTTTTTAAAAAATGATTTATTTATATGAGAGACAGAGAGTACGCATGCAGGAGCACAAGTCAGGGGAGGGGCAGAAGGAGAGACAGAGAGAATACTCAAGCAGACTTCCCGCTGAGTGTGGTGCCCTACATGTGGGGTTTGATCCCAGGATCCTGAGATCATGATCTGAGTCAAAATCAAGAGTTGGCTGCTTAATTGAACCACCTGGAACTGGGACAATCTGCTTTTTTTAGAAACCCTGAGTTTGTAAAAGCAGTTCTGAGATTGTAGTTCCAATGTCAGATATTAACTTGAGTGTAATAAATAAAACACACTATGGAGGCATGGCTGGCTCAGTCAGTAGAGCATGCAACTCTTGATCGTGGGGTTGTGAGTTCAAGACCCATATTAGGTGCCGAGATTACTTCAAAAAATAAAATCTTAAACAAAATAAAATAAAAAACACACTAGAAAAGTGTATATAATTAAAGTTCTTTAAAATCTTTTTAGAAATAGCTTTTCTCTTGGACACAGTTTATAGAGTTGAATTAGGGAAAAATATGTGATAAATGCCCTTAGGCTTGAAATTTAGAGGACAAAGAAATTTATTTTTTAACAGATAAGCCCTATCTTCTTTCTAAGCTTCCAACTACCAGAACACACAAACAAACCAGGTTTGTAACCATTATCTCCACATTTGAAGAAAAGATTTAAATGAATTCATCTCTGAAATGTAGTCTAAGCATATTTTGAAGACAGCAAAAAGTAATGTTGGCCTGACTTATTCAGAGTGAGTCTCTAAACAATTCCAAATGCACATATCTACATTCATATTTCTAGACTGATTATATGCAGCAGCAAGCTAAGAGTCTAACCAAAAACTATCAGAAAGTCTACCTTGGTAGAAAAGAGAAGGGTGTATAGCAAGCAAGCCAGACACCAGGCTCTCCATAGAGCTCTGCATATAACACTTCATTTCATTGTCAACAATAACCTGACAAAATAAATATTGTCATCTCTACATATGAAGAAAATGAGACTCAGCTTGAATGGCCTGCCCAAAGTTGCAGTTTCTAAAGGGTGAGAGCCCAGATACAAATCTAAGCCTGCCTGACTTTCTACTATACCTAGAATGACAGCTAAGGCATTCTTTTTCATATTATATCTTGGTGATAGAGGACATTAGCGCCATTGTTACAACTAGAGGTAGTGGATTTAGGAAAAACAGGACACCGTAGTAATCTGTTTTAAACATCAGTAACTCACCATCCAAGTGACCCACTTGGGGCTCCTATTATCGACAATGAAACTATTCTACCTGCATTGAAATTCCAAATAAATTCCATTACATATCAGTAATAGCCATTCTTTCTTTTCTTTTCTTTTTTTTTTGTATATATATTTTTATTGGAGTTCGATTTGCCAACATATAGCATAACACCCAGTGCTCATCTCGTCAAGTGCTTCCTTCCCTCGGTGCCCGTCACCCAGTCACCACAACCCCCCACCCACCTCCCTTTCTACCACCCCTTGTTCGTTTCCCAGAGTTAGGTGTCTCATTCTTTCTTTTCTATATTCAGTAGTAATTGAATAGAAATTCAGAAACTTTTGCCTGAAGAGACATGGTCAAATGCAAGAATCTTACCTTTTCTCACATGAATACACCAGCCCTGTTCATTTCTGATGGGTTCATCTTTTTGAAAATCATACTTTATCAAGTCAAAAGTGAAAAGAAGCTGCAAAAGCAAAATAAAACAAACAATAAAAACAAAAGCAACAAAATATTTGTGCACTGACATCTACTGGTAGTAGAGTATATGCTCAGACAATTGAAATAAGGAATTAGGAGGCAGATTTATGAAAACAAGTAAACTTTACTGATAACAAATTAAGTATGTATTTGAAAATCAAAACTGAAGGCTTTAGTGAACAGCACTTGTATCCCAGCATTTACTTTCATTTCATTTTTTTGTTGCACATTACCTTAGCAAAACATTAATATTATTCTTGAATGAGTGGTTCTAAGCATCCTTGCTCTCAATTACCTTCTCTATTAACTCTAGGGAAGAGGAACACTTCTTGCCTTCTACTTTTTGCAATTATTAAAAAATATCCCTCGAGGGGCACCTGGGTGACTCAGCTGGTTAAGCGACTGAATTTTGGTTTAGGCTCAGGTCATGATCCCAGGGTCATCAGATCCAGCCCCACAATGGGCTCCACGCTGAGCATGGAACCTATTTAGGATTCCCTTTCTCCTCTCTTTCTGTCCCTCTGCTCATGCACTCTCTCTGTCTCTAATAAATAAATAAATAACATTTAAAAAATTCCTTGAAATGATGTCAACTACATGAATACAAGGACTTTATTACCTATTTTTAATTTATGATCCTTTGAAAAGGCATCGGATGCCTACTTGACTTTCAGCTTTTGCCCAGGCCTTTCACCTTCATGTCCCTAAATTAACAGTCAGTACTTCTGGGCACTGGTGTGCTGTGAGATAGCAAATTCATTAGAACATGCTCATCAGATTGGGAAACAAGCTAATTGTCCCCCATCTCTCCTTGTCCCTAAATGTGTCCAGCTACCCTGCTCCTGCAATGTCCGCATTACCATGTCATGCAGATTCACCTATCCATTAAAGGATGACCCTGGGATGAAAAACTGCCGATGGGTTCAACTCAACCCCTTCATTTCATGTGTAAGAAAACTGAGGTTTCCCTGATCAATTAAATAAGCAATCTCATTAAGGTGAACTAGAAAATAGTAATCTAAAATTCAGAAAAAATAATAAAGGAGGACACATAGAAGGGAGAAAGACAAAAGAGGAGGAAGGACGAAATGAATAAATATAGAACAAAGATGTGGGAGAAGATGAATAAAGTTAGTGAGATAAATGCAGTATTATTTATCATCAAAGACTAGACACAAACATCCCTGGTTTTTAATCTCAGCAAAATCAGCATGTAATTAGAATCACAATTCATTATTTGAATTAAAATATAAATGACAGCAACTGATGTTGATTGAGCATCTACTATAGGCCAGATGCTGCTATTGGCCTAAGAGCAGTATTAATTTAATTACCAACACACTCTACGAGGTGGCAATTGTGCCATCTAAGATGTGGGCCAATGGGAGAGGTAGCAAAACAAAATATATTGTGATTCTATATTAACATGCAAACTTGCATCTTGTTGGTCTTTGTAATTGGGATAATAGCTTTCTGGCCACTTGCCTAATGACTGGTAAAAAGAAAGGTTCCAGAAGTTCCAGAACGACATTTATCATTTCAGTCAAACAAGAAGAGAACCCTGTTTATTATCCATCTCCTGTTGTAACACGTTTTCTATTTTGAAAAATTTGCTCAGCAACTAATGATATCAGCGTTAGTGTTATTTCTTTTATATTAATTTGTCAACTGCATTCATGGGTGAGGTTTAATATATACCAAATCACCCTTCAGTGTGCCTCTTATCACATACAGGGGTCTTGCAGGTCACAAATTGGGTAATTTTATGATACAAATGGAATTTCAATATATCACAGCATCTTCTAGACCTAGTCAGGGTCTGAGTAGTAAAGTTCAGCCAGAGGGACTTCTATTTTTTTCTTGCCTTCAAGAGATCCCACAAGATTACAAAAATGGCTGTATCATCATAACACAGATAAAAAAATGATCCCCACTTTTATATCCCCTAAATGTATATGTGCATGCATAGGTATGTATCTGGATCCAGAGCAGAGCTGCAGGGAGCCCCATTCATAATTGACTAGGGAAATGAATCCCCAGCACTGTGCAATCCACACCTATGTGACTCAGACACAGCCCATATACTACCTGTATGCTTTTGTATATTCACATTTATAAATTTAGAAGTTGGAAAGAGAACACAAAAATTATTCTCTGTTAATTCAGAGGAATGTGACTTGTCAAAATTCAAAACTCAAAAAGTGGTAGAGCTTAAACTAGAGCCCTGGGTACAATGATTGCAATTCAGTTTCCCCTCAACATTATATACATTGCTTCGAACTACACAATAGAGGCTCATTTCTCTATCACCATCAGGAAAGGTTGGTTTCTCTGCTTTCTTAAACAGAAGACCCTAGAAAAGCACAAACACACAAACACACATAAATCATAAATCTATTATATATACATAATATTGACTATGCATGCATATCTATAAGGCATATATATCTATTTATATACATAAATACATATAATAATGTATATAATATTACACAGAGTTGGGTTATTATGAATACTTAGAATATATTGTCATGCAACAACATAGTTCTGAATGGTTCACAGAGTGAACGGTGTTAAAAAAAACAAGCAAAATACAAAAATATGAAGAAAATTTATAATTTCTCCAAATTCAACCAAAAATAAACTGGCATTAACATGGTGTAATATAGTCTCAATAGAGCCAAAGTGATCCCATTAAAGCTAAAACAGTAACAGTCTTTTGTTTGTAGTCTTTGCTCACCTCCCTATAACTACTGTGGTCTCACTGCTGTCCCTCAAACACAGCAGGCATGTAACCATCTGAGGGCCTTTGTACTGGCTATTCATTCCATTTTTTTAAAAGATTCATTCATTCATTTATTTATTCATTCATTCATTCATTTATTTATTTATTTATTTATTTTAGAGAGAGGGAGAGTGAGGGGGAGGTGCAGAGGGAGAGGGAGAGAGAGAATCTCAAGAAGACTCCCTGCTGAGCGTGGAGCCCTATGTGGGGCTCAATGCCACAACCCTGAGATCATGACCTGAGCCAAAACCAAGAGTTGGGAGTCTCAACCAACTGAACCACCCAGGCACCTCTATTCATTCCATTTTGAACATCAGATAGTCTCATGACTCATTCTTTTATTTCCTTCAAGTCTTTCCCTAAATATCATTCTCAGAGTGCCCTTTCTGGCTACCCTCTCTAAAACTGCAAAAATCCCTTCCAGCATGCACACACACATGCACACACACATGCACACAATCTTCTTTTCCTGTTTAATTTGTCTCTTCAGCACTTATGAGTATGGAATGTTTATTATATTATGTGGTTTGTTTTCTGTCTTCCCCAACAGACTATAAACTGTACATAAGCAGGAATCTATGTCTGTTGTGTTCACTGTGTTCAGTGAACACCGTGTTCAGGCATATTGAAGACTTTTAATAGACTATATAAAGGAATGCATTTGACAAGCATCATTACAAATGTGTTTAAATTGGTAGAGAGAAAGGTAGGAAATAGATTAATAAAATTATATATGAAAAATGAAACCACACCATTTTAAGAAATGCAGTCAATTTAAATTTCCTTGAGTTTAACAAAAGAAAATGGAACTGAAGTTAGGTTTCTTAAGCACAGAAGAGATCAGTTCCTTGTGGAGTCAAGAATTTAACCTTCACTCCAGTTTAACCAGAGGTCTGGCTTTCACTCTCAGTTTCTGGGAGATAATCTCTATGCCTCTGCAGTGTTATGGCCAACAGGAGTATACGTGTTAGCCTAAGGGCTTTTGGCATCCAGATAGTAACCATAGGATTTAGATTTAGTGTCTCTGAGCCATCCAAATAATGTGACGTAGGGTGGAGACTCCCAGCTTGACCCCTTGAGGTATTTGAGATAGAGGTCAACCACACAAGCAGCCAACTAGATTCAAATAATGGAGCTGCAAAGAAGACTGGACACTGAGGCTGGTGAGCTTCCCTTGCTAGCAGTACTCCATGTACATTGTCACATGTCAGTTCCAGGAGAGTAATGCCATCCTGACACCATACGTAAGGACACCTAAAAAGCCTTGTATTTGGTGCCCTCCTGATTCTGCCCTATTGCTTCTCCCTCCATCTGATTTTAATCTACATCTTTTAGATGTAATAAATAGTAATTATGAGCATAATAGCTTTCGGTGAGTTTTTTGAGCCCTTAGCGAATTACAGAACCCATGGTGGGTTGTAGGACTTCAAATGTGGCAAATGCTGTCAGACGTGAGGGTGGTCTTGTGTGCATTATTGCCTAACTTCACAGCTGGCTAAATTTCCTGGTCCATAAAAAAATGCCTACTTTTAAGATAATAAAAAAGTTTATAGAAATGTGAAGGAGCCTTTTATTAAATCCTTTTATTTACATTGTACTTAAGGACTTACTATGAAAGATGAAAAAATTAGCACTTCTATTTCCTCCTCTCCTCCTACCCAATTCCCATCTTTGTTAGTGCTGTAATTATTTTTATATTTTTCAGGATTAATACTTCCATCCCATCTATAAACATAATTTGGAGCTGTTCAATCTTCTGTATTTAAATGGACTCAATCAAAACTTTTAACTGAAGGCGATTCCTTTATTTCTAAATTCTGCTTTATTTTCAGGTTGATTGGACAGCTTCACTGAGTGAATTTTATAAAGAAGTATTGCATTCTTATAAATACATGAGTATTATCTTCTCTGATTTCTCAAACTTTTGAGGACACCTCTTCTGTCTTTTTACTCAAAGAAAAACTGAGTCAGAAGTAAAATTCTTAGGTGAATACCTTCCTTCCTTTTTTTTCTGGCATTGAGTGTTTTGTTCTTGTTTTGAGAGATGCCTGAAATGATTCCCATCTGCACCCTACACTTTGTGCAACTTTTGTTTTCTCCTTAAGGTTCTTTAATTTATGTTCAGTAATTTCACCAGCATATATCTTTCTGATGGTCATTCTATATTAATTTTTTTTTTCTGGAACACAGTGTGCTCTTTTGCTAAAGATTCAAGTCTTTAATTTAAGGAAGTTTTTCTCTATCATGTTTCAGATACTTTTTTTCTTTTTGATTTTTTTCCCTGCAGGAACACCAATTAGCAGGTATCAGATGATTGCCTGTGTTTTCAAAATCTATCTTTCTAATTTATTTTATATTCTTATTTTTTTTATTCTTTTTATTGGGTTTGTGTGACTCCTTAATCTCCTCCATCTTGCTCCCTAACAATATTTACAGCCTGTAATATATTTGTCTCTGTGATACTTTCATTCTTCCTTATTTTTTTCCCTTGAACTGAGTCTATCTACTTTCCAACCCCATTTGTTGATTTATATTTCCCTTGTACTTTCTTTTGAACTCTTATTTTTAAAGAGAATATTATTGCAATTTTTGGACCTATGGGAAACTATTTTTCTAAACATTCCTTGGTCATTTTAGAGGGCTTATAATTTTGTTGTGAATCTATATTTTTTTCAGGTAGCTTTTATTAAGACTTTTTTTTTTCAAGTTTTATTTCCTCTAGGGATTTCCTGTTTGTTCCCTCCCAATTATATCGTTCCCGAGGGTAGAAAAGGAGAAGCCAGTCTGTAACTGTTACTTGGGTTTGTCTCTCAAATGCAGTCACCAAATTGTTTACAGTGTTTTCTCTGGGTGTGTCATATTATAGCACACATACATATCCCTTCAGCTGTATGCATTTAAATGTAAGTACAGCACACAAAAAGGACATCTGGGATGCAGGAACTCTGTGTTGATGCCTCATCTTTTTCCTTCTCTATTAATATCTTATCTCTGTTTAGATGCTAATTTGCCTCTGAAACAGTAAGTGGAAGCTTCCATTAGGTTTACATTTTTGAGAGACAGACTTATCAAATTTCCCCACATGACTATGAAAAAAGTTATTGGCCCAAATTTTTCTGATGACCTGCTATGTAACAAAACAATACATGCATGTATTGAAAGATAGAGTAGAATTCATATGATGCTAGGAACATTTTTTTTTCATTTCCAAGCTGAAAAAAAAATACTAAAATAAGTTGAAAATCAGAAGTTTTCCAAATAGATTGGAGACAATCATGACTTCCTGCTTTATTGACAGTATCACAGTCTGACAGGGAATTTAAGATATTATAAAATTATAATGAAGTCAAGCCAGTAATGTTAAATACAAATCTTTTTCATTGTGCTCCTCCTGTTGGATGATTACTCGGGAATGACTCAGCTTCACTAAGGAGTTTTAATATGAATACCAAAGTTTTAATTCAACCAGTGCAACAAATTGAGAAAATTATCTGTAAGGAACGTAAAGCTCAGTAATATCAGCACTTACTTTCCCAAAATTACTTTTTGGAATGCAGATGGATTTCTGAGATGTCAATAAGACCCTCAAAATCCCAAAGAGTGTATTATAAAAATAGTTTGCATCTTCTCTAGGTGCTAAACATCAGAGCAACTTATACCAGCTTTGAGTCTATTTCTTTACTTTTAAAAAACTATGTGTTTATCTTTTCTGATACTCCTCACTAAATGTTTATTTTGTATTTCTTTAATTTATGTTCTTAATTACTTCCTTCTTTTTCTTTGAGTTTATTTCAGTTACTTTTTAATTTAACCCCAGAAATGGATATAGGGCTCATAAATTTTCAACCATTCTTTTTTTTTTTTAAGATTTTATTCATTTATTCATGAGAGAGAGAGAGAGAGAAAGGCAGAAACACAGGCAGAGGGAGAAGCAGGCCCCATGCAAGGAGCCTGACATGGAACTTGATCCCGGGACTCCAGGATCACGCCCTGGGCTGAAGGCAGGCACCAAACCACTGAGCCACCCAGGGATCCCCAATTTTCATCCATTCTTATGTAGATCCAAAAGTTTTGAAATAGAACATTTCATTTTGACTCAGTTCAAATTATTATTTTTATTTTTATTCATTTGAGAGAGAGAGAGCATGAGCACGAGCATGAGCAAGGGGGTAGAGTGGGGAGGGTGGAACAGAGAGGGAGGGAGAGGGACAAGTAGACTTTTCACAAAGCATGGAGCTTAACGTGGGGTTCCATCCCACACCCCAAGATCATGACCTAAACCAAAGTCAAGAATCAACTGACTGTGCTACCCAGGCACCCTGTCTCAAATAATTTTTTATTTTCAATTATGATTTTTTGTTGACTCATGGAAACTTACAAATGTTTTATTTTCAAATATATAGGAGATGACCTACCTGTCGTTTACAATTTCATTTCTATCTTAATTAAACTGCTGATGGAGAACACAATCCATATTCAATCCTCTGAAATTTGCTGGAATTCCCTAAGTGGCCCAGTAATCTTTGTGAATGCTTCATAACTGCTTGAAAAGAATGGATATTCTGCAGTTTTTAGATGCAGTATCCTATATATGTTCATTAGTTCAAATAATTTGTTTAGTACATATTCTCTATCATTGAAGATCTTCTTTTGTGTGTTCTATCAAATACTGAAAGAACTATAACAGAATATTTTACTATGATTCTGGAGTTTTTAATTTCCACTTGAGGTTATAAACATTTTCCTATATAAATTTAGAGAATATTTTCTTTACCTTCACTTTTATTTTTCACTTTCACTTTTCTCCAAAGGAGTTCTAGACTTCTGTGCAATCTTTTGGATTCTATGGATGCTATCAGTTGGAAGTCTTTTACTCCCAGGTAAGTGATTTTGGGGGGTAGCTTTGAGATTTTAATGGTATCTTGATTTATTAGAAGCCTATACATAATTTTTGAATGATATAAAAATGAAGTATAAGCAGAAACATGGGACTGAAAATATGCAGGAAAAATGGAAAGAGTCAAATTAATATGTATCAGAAACTTTGCTTGCTATTTACACATTATATCATTAAATTTGAAAACAGAACAAAAGACTTGGGTATCATTATCCCTGCATTATAAAGGAACACATGGGAGATACTTGAGGTTTTTTAAAGCTATGGTTCACCTAGAGCCATGACTTTATAGAAGTTCTCAACATTTCTAAATAAAAGAAAAAAAAAGAGAAAAGAAAAGCAATAATATTTACAATAATTTACAAGCAGGAAGTCTAGAAGAGAGGTAAACCAACCTCAATATTTCCTTTGTAAAGAAAATACTATACTTACTTTGTAAAAGAAATTTGTTCTCCCAATGGATCCTATTTTCCCAGTGTGATTCATAAAACAAATGTTTCCTTCAGTAGCTCCATAAAGCTCACACATCTTAATATTTCCAAATCTGTCCAAAAATTCCCTCCATACATCACTCCGTACACCATTTCCAACTGCCAAACGCACTTGATGATCCTTTTCTCCTTCTCTCTGTTAAAGACAAGATTTTACTTGCAATTTATTAATTCCAGTTCTCCATTCTTTTTTTCATTACTTGTAAACCAAATGGCAAATACCAGAAGTAAGTTGCACATATGCAATAATGGAAGGGAAGTAAAAAAATTATGTTTAACTCTGTTGCAGAACCATGTCCAATAGCTAATGAAACTAACATTGGCCTAAAGTAATACAGCTTTTACTACCCCATATCTGGAAAAAGATCTTCCTACATTCCAGATTATGAAACCCTTTTTTTGATAGAGATCAGGTAAGGAAGAAAGCATATTTCAGGGAAAAAAGCATTACTTTAAAAAAATTATAAAATATACTTGAGTCTGTACTCTCAGCTCTACTATTTATTACCTATATAACTTTGAACAAAAGGTTGAATACCATTCTGATTCTCAGTTTTTTCACTTGCAAAACTGAGAACATCTATCTCACCCATGTACTGCATTTCAAGGGTAAACTCAAGGCCTAGCATATGGTAAACAGTAAGTTAAGGTCATCTAATCCTTGTAATATTTGGCTTGCAAATATTATGGCAACTACTTGTAAATATTATTTTTGAATGTACAATATTCTCACATCTTTACTTCTGATTCATACTTTAGAATTGAAAGAAAAAAGAAAATATATTTTATTCTATGTTCAATAGGCACTATGTTAAGTAACATGAATTATACAGTGATCAAAAATGAGAACCTCACACCTGTTAGAATGGCTATTTTTATTTTTTTCAAATATTTTATTTATTCATTTGAGAGAGAGAGAGATAGACATAGCAAGCAACCAAGAGAGCACAAGTAGGGAGGAAAGGGAGAAGCAGGCTCCCTCCTCAGCAGGGAGCCTCGATGTGGGGCTTGATCCCAGGACACTGAGACCATGACCTGAGCCAAAGGCAGACGCCTAACCACCTGAGCCACCCAGACACCCCGAAACATGCTATTTTTATTTTATTTATTTATTTATTTATTTATTTATTTATTTATTTATTTATTTAAATTATTACGGAGCAGATTTAGATTATGGAGCAAATCTTCCACATTCTTGTTCCTTTTTTAAAGATTTTATTTATTTATTCATAGACACAGAGAGAGAGAGGCAGAGACACAGGCAGAGGGAGAAGCAGGCTCCATGCAGGGAGCCCGATGTGGGACTCGATCCCAGGTCTCCAGGATCACACCCCAGGCTGCAGGCGGCGCCGAACCACTGCGCCACCAGGGCTGCCCTAAACATGCTATTTTTAAAAGAGATAAGAAACAAGTGTTGGCAAAGACGTTTTGGAAAGGGAACTCTTGCACTGTGGGTGGGAATGTGATTTGGTACAGCTACTGTGGAAAACAGAAAGGAGTTTCCTCCAAAAATTAAAACTAAAACCCCCCATATAATCCAGCAATTCCACTTCTGGGCACTTCTGTGAAGGAAATAAAAATGCTAATTAGCAAAGATATATGCACCTTCATGTTCACTATAGCATTATATACAGTAGCCAAAACACAGAAACAACCTAAGTGCCCACTGACAGATGAATGGGTAAACAAATTGTGGTACACACACACACACACACACACACACACGTGTACACACAGACAGTGTGATGTTATTCAGCCAAGAAATATTGCCATCTGCAACAACATACATAGACCTTGAGGGTATTATGCTTAGCGAAATAAGTCAGAGAAAGACAAAGACCATGTGATCTCATTTATGTGTGAAAAAGAAAAGAACCCCTCCCCAAATTCTCCAAATCCAAAGCTCACAGATATAGAAGAACAGAGGCAGGGAGTGGGTGGAGGATGAAATGGGTAAAGGGGATCAAAACATACAACCTTTCAGATAACAGAATAAGTAAGTCATGGGAAGGTTACATACAGCATGGTGAGTACAGTTAAAAATGCTGTGCTAAATATCTGAAAGTTGCTAGGAGAGTAAATCTTAAGTTTTGCCACAAGGAAAATAAATTTATGTGTAATGTTGGACCTTAACTAGGCTTATGTTGATGATCAATCTGCAATATATACAAATATCAACTCATGTCATATACCTTGGACTTAGATGATGTTAAATGTCAATTATATCCTACTAAAAAATTAGACTAAGACTATACTATCAATTAGAGCAAGTATATACTATCAGAATAGTTATGGTAAATCCATAAGTCCCTCTGAGCCACCCCCATCCTCACCAAAGCTATTATAAAATTAACAAGAAAAAATAATACATTAGCAATAATCATAGAAGAGAAAATAATGTCCTTGACACTTGTAATTCAAAATGATCAATTGGTCACATTCTTTATCTCAGTTCCTCCTCAGTCTTAAAGGAAAGATTTTAACCTATTAATTCTCAAGAACAGAGAGAATGTGAGTGCAAAGTAATTTTGGAAACTGGAAAGCAAACAGGCAATAGCCATGTGAGTGGAAGAGGCTGGCATCAAAGCCTGAGGTGGGGACACAATAAATGGTCTGAGGTGTTATGGAAACAACACAAAGAATAAGGAATGCAGAAGGCTTGGTTGAAAATTTTTAAAAAGCCCCTGTACCCTTAGAGACTCCAACACTGACAAGGTATCTGGACATCTGCCCTCGCTATGCATTAGCCAAACACTGGAAACTAACTCTCTGGAGATGTCCATCCACATAGACACCAGTTTGGGTTGAGGAACCTAATGAAAACAGGAGTGTTACATAGAAGTATGAATACTAAATGGTGAGATCTTTAAACCCTTCTACTCTGAGCTCAGAGCAAAACTAATTCTGAGTGACAGAAATCAGAATACTGTCCATACATGGTGGGACAGTGAGTGATTCTTGAAGCTATCCAGAGGGATAGTCTTCAAGAAAAAAATAAGTTAAATTACTTAAAAATACTCCAAGTGCTATTCAGTCAAATTGAGAAATTTCAGCTGTGAAGGAGAACTTGAGAGTATTTTGTATTGATTCCTTTAGACACTCCCTAATTCATTAAGCATTTAGAAAGCTAAATTTTTTAAAAGGCAATTACTGGAAATGAAAAGTTGAAACAGTCAAGCTGTAATTATATTTTAATTACATGATGTGCTGCAGCTGTGAATAAAATGTACATATTATAATTTCTTTATAACTTAAAAATGATTATCAACACATTTTAAAATGATCATAATTATATTTGTGCCAAAGAGAGAGAAGCAATAATATGTATGTGAATATGTGAGTAGGAAGCAGGTAGCTGACACTTAAAACCAAAACACCCAGAAATAGTTACATATTTGATTGAGAAATATGTGACTACACAACAACCAAAAATCCCTTTAAATAATTAAGGGTGTCTACCTCTAGAGATCAGGTATTGATAGCAGGCGGTTACTGTTTAGAGGACTATTTTAGTTTTTAAACTATAGAAGTCCTTATTTAATAGAATAAAAATTGAATTAAAAAAAAAGGCAAATAAGAGCGTGGAAATACCTAAAATAAGACTCCAACTTGCTGATTTCCTTAGCCCCACATCAAGAGAATTAACGATAAACATTCTGCAGACAGAAAAACCCCCACAAAAACCTTACTCTGATAAGAGCAGCTCCTTCCAAAACAGAGTAGCAGTTCTGAACTGGTTCACACCTCCTACGGGCATGTTGGATATTGCCTACCTGCTACAGAACTAGTTCTTGAATTTTCTGCTGCCATTTCTCTGTATAAAACAGTAGTGGCACAAATCTTAGGATTTATTTTGCTTGAACAGAGAACAATCTTTTATGTGGTATAACTCTTGGATGCTTTCCAGGTCAGAGAGGAGTTTCAGCAAGTATCATTATTTATAAAATGTGTTGGCACACTCCAGAAAACAATAAGAAGGTGGTTTATAAACCAAACTCCATAGACTCTACCCTGTGTGTGCTACAGCTATAGAAGCGTACCGAATAAGGGTAAATATTCACCCCAAAATGATTCAATTGATAGAGAAAATCGAATTATCAATACTAGGGTAAGGCTTTTATCTAAAAATATCAATTTCACTTTTTTAACCTTCAAGACATCTTTTTTCTATGGCCTTCTTTTTTATTTAATTTTTAAAATTTATTTGAGAGACAGAGAGAGAGAGAGAGAGAGAAAGGAGGGAAAAAATCCTCAAGCAGAGTCCCTGCTGAGCATGGATTCCATGGTGGGGCTGCATCCCAGAACCCTAAGATCATGACCTGAGCCTAAATCAAGAGTCAGATGCTTAACTGATTGAGCCACTCAGGTGTCACTGATCTTTCCCTTTAAATCCAGAAGATCATGCTTTGAGGGTTATGAGGAAAGATGAACTGATTCATTATTTATGATTTGAATAAAGGAAACAAAAATCTGAATGATATTATTGACTTTAGATAATTATCTCAGTAAACTGTAAAACAACTATAATTTACATCACTCACATCAATTATGTCCTTTATATTTCATTCTTTCAGGAGTGCTTAGGTTTGTATTTTCAGTTATCTTTTAATGGAATATTTAGAGAATTGTTTAAAAGTATTCTGTGTGCATGTACTGATTCAGTTTAAAGATGTCTGTAAAATTTTAGACTTTTATTAGTGGAGAACCTTCTATTTGCAAGCCTTTGGATAAGTAAAGCTGAATAAATTGTAAACTAAATTTTGTGAAATCTGAATTTGCCATAAATGAGACAAATCATTACATGAAATTTTAAAAGTTATGCTTTTCTCACTCACAAAGTTAATTCTAGATGAACATAATAGTTAAATATAAAGAAGAAAATTGTCTATTGATTTTTTTGCTATTGGACGGAAAAGGAGATTTTAAATCACAAATTAGGTAGAAATACTAACAAAATGAGAGAATAATATATTTAATTATAAAAATAAACACAGGGCACCTGGGTAGCTCAGCCGGTTAAGCATTTGCCTTTGACTCAAGTCATGATCTCAGGGTCCTGGGATCCAGCCCCATATCAGGCTTCCCTGCTCAAGAGGAAGTTTGCTTTTCCCTCTCCCCTACTCATGCGCTCTCTCT